AAATAGTTTTAAAGATTATTTGAGTGTTCATACACTAACAGTTAAATTAAACCAACATCTTCCAAATATTGAAACATTACAATAACTTTATATCATGTAAAGACAGAATGATGGAGTCTCAATGATGACCGTCACTATAGTCTGTTTGCAGTGAAAACGTACCGATGAATTTCACTTTAAACAAAAATGTAAATCAAATAAAGTGAAATTAAGATTGCGAATCCTCATAGTTTTACCTTGCCATTTGAAAATTTAAATCTCAGAATTTTATTCAACTTGGGATGAAAGTTGTTTAACAAACAATCATAGTTTCAAATCGGTATTATTGGTTTGTATTACAAGGGGCTATGCACATAAAATGAAACACCAAGATCAAGTAGGGTTGGTCTAAGTTAACGCTCATCACGTACCGCACATGCATTTGTTTCACTGTTCCAACTACTGCGCTTACCCCCATGTAATACAAACCAATATAAGCGATTTGAAACTATGATTGTTTGATAAACAATTTTTTTCATAAGTTGAATAAAAATCTAAGATTTAAATGTTCAATTGGCAAGGTAGAATTATGAGGATTCGTAATCTTAATTTAACTTTATTCGATTTACATTTTTGTTTAAAGTGCAATTCACTGATACGTTTTCACTGCAAACAGATTCTAGGTACTGATGAAGAAGACACAAACAATAGTACTTCACCTAATTGCCATTTTGGTGTCACTGTTTAATCAGCCAAATAGTTGCTCCACTCAAACTACGGTCTGATAAGTAAATATGAATATAAAACACACATAACCTTGACTAAGATGATTATGAATTTACTAGAATCTAAAATATCAATGTGTTGCATACCATTGCTATGAATACTTTCCACTTTCTGGAACCAAATTATTACACTCGCCAATACATCGGTATTATTTTCCATATGAACAGTCACTTCTGTCTCAAAAATTGCTCAACATAACACCATCATGTAAATGTCAAGAGTCAAGAAAAATATGGTTTCATTTATAATTGTAGTTTTGCATACATGTAAAAAGAATAACAACTTGATTATTCAGAAACTTAAAAAAAGATTGATTATGTATATGACAATTTAGTAAAACATGACAACTGCAAATGCAAGCTGTATATATTGAATATTTTCAGAAAATGTACATTACACATATCCCCCAAGCAATGAAGGTCTGTACACAATGTAATGTCCTAAATACATCACTGACACTTGTTCGTAGGACTGGCTATCAAGAGAGATAATAAAGATCGATAATCACTTAATAAATATTGATTGATTATCAGTAAATATCGGAGAAGTAACTTTGATAAAAATTCCAAGATCAACATATTTCACATCACTGGTAAGTGGTGAGATATTTATACTACTCACACTTTGCTAAGGATCACAAAAATTCCAAACTTTACTTAAACATAGATTTATAATTTGAAATTGTATCCATTTAAAACTAGATAAATAATGATATGGTAACCCTTCTTTAGGCAAACAGCCACTTTAATCTAACCTTATGCACTTACATGAGTAACCATAAAAATGTTTTTCATGGCACCAATCAACCATTTTGCAAATCATTGAACGAGTCATTGACAAGTACACAACACCTGTCAATAGCAGGTATGGGATCCACAAGATGCAGTGACATACTGAAACCTAGGATCCATGCTTACAATAAGCTTAGATATTTAAACCAAATTAGACCCCACATCATAGTTTTCTGTTGAATCAATGATTTGATCCTTAGCAAAGTGTGAATAGTATATGTATGGATTACTAACAAAACAGCTCCTGAAGATAGTTATGAAGCAGCCTATGAATAAAGACCTAATTTTGTGCAATGTGTGAGTAAATTAACACTACATTTCATCATAATAGTTCATGTATACTTTCTGACACATTTCATAGCGATCATTTGCTAATAACTATTCCCATCAATGATATTTGAGATTATCGATCTTTTCAGCCAGTCCTAGTTGTTATCCAACAGAACATAGTGCATACCAAACGACCAGTTAATTATCACTTACAAATCCACAATATATGTGAGACAGATCTTGTAGAACAATTATACTCAAGGAAACGAATAAGGGAAAACATGAAAGTACAAGTGTTCCTATATTTATTTCCAGATTTTCATGATTCAAGCATGACAAGAAACCCAGAATAGAGTATAGGAACACTTGCACTTTCGTGTGCTCCTTTATTTGTTTCCATGAGTATATAAAACAGAATTAACCATAAATTTCTTGATCACAAAATGACTTCGTATTTCAACTTACTTATTAACAATGAGATAAACCTGTCGTCAGGGAAACCAATGACAAGGATACCGACAAACCATCATAATTAAGGACTGATTGAGATGGGAGGGATTGGTGCCTGGAATTCAATCCCCAAAGGATTACCTTCGAATTTTTTTTAAAAAACAATAATTATGCTTCAGACTGCTGAAAAAAATAACCTTTCTGCCAAAAAAAATACATTATGCTAAAATTGTTTACAAAGGTTTACTTAGACTCATAGTTTTAATTAATAAATAATATCTATTTTACCTGCAGTAGCTGAGAAACATCCAGTCTCCTTACAAAATATCCCTTCCCCTCCCACTAACGACGATTGTATAATACACTGTATAACCGAGAATGTAACAAACATGGCAAAATAGGTAAAATTAACAAAAATAGCAAAGCAAAAAACATAACAATGACAAAAATATTTAGGAGTTACATATAAAGGTCATACATGGAGATAATAATATTATATTGATGCAACATTTTCATATCATGCAAATATAATCGCAAAACAAGCGAAAAAACATAATAGCAATCAGAGAAGATTACACTCCAAACCAAACACTAGGAAATGGGGATAAGACTTTGGTTACATAACACTAAAGGAATCTCATCACAATTGAAGCTAAAGCATGTTATAGAAACACAAGCACTTCCCACCTTGACAAAAATAATTAGAAAGATTCTGTTTGGTATTCTGAAAGATCTTTTGGTTCTGTTCACAAATAATCTCAATGGTCATTCTGAATAAAGTCTTTAACTTAAAGTAGGAACATCAATTTCTTAATCATATAAATCATGACAATGTTATGATTATTATTTAACCAGATTAAGAGCCTGTTTTTACCTGTTTCAAGTTTTCTTGACTATATACTTACTGACTCTATAATTCAGTAATCTGAGACATGGCAGTTGTATATGGATTATGATGTAACAAGCATATAGACAACGAACATTGAATACACAGGATCACATGTCCCAGGCATGCATGATATATATGTGCAAACATAGGTTGGCTACAAACATAGGCATAAAGTATTTCCTGCTTCCAGTATTCGATCAGTTTTAGCACTTGAAAATATTTTGATCTGAATTAGAATGTGTTCATCATTTGGATTTCTGTTTCCAGCATTTTTAAATGTGGAGTAAGTCTTTAGAGGAATATAAAAAGAAATGTCCTATAAAAATGCTTCATATTAACACTGACTGACTGAGTTTGGTTTTACGCTGCTTTTAGCAATATTCCAGCAACATCACAGCAGGGGACACCAGAAATGGGCTTCACACACTGTACCCATATGGGGATTCGACTGAACGGGTCTTCAGCAGCAACATCACGAGCCATTCACGCTTTAACCACTAGGCTAGCCCACCGCCCCTCTCATATTAACAAGCCACTTCATAAAATGGTTGCATTTTTGTGTTCACTCCTTTGTAAAGACCACATTTACTATGAGAGTTAGTTTTACTGTTGCTTTGAACAGTATATCAGCTGAATCTCCTGTCAGATTAGATGAAAAACCAGTATCTGAAAATCTGATGAAGTCACGAGTATTTACATCATCCTGAGCATCAGTGATCAAGAGGACAAATCCTAGAATGGAACAATGTAGTCTTTGTGTGCTTGTCCAGTCTGGTTCTATTCTGAGATATATCTTTATCTCCACCAAAATACTGACTGTAGACTTAATGCCATGTATGCAAAACTATTTTCTTCGGTACCAATTCCAACATAATCACAGAGAAAACTGAAGGAATAAAAGAAGTGGAAAACAAACATTACCATGTGAAAATTGCATGCAATTGTCCCAAAATGGATAAACATTATATGAAATTAGACGTTCATTGGTAAAAAGGTCATTGCTCATTGGTGTAGTAAGTGATCATTCACGACAGTAATTATGATGACATTAGACACAATTAAGTAAGGAACAAATTCTAATAATTAGTCAATACACTGTGTGTAGGTCTGTACTCAATCACAAACCTAGTGTGCGCAAAATAGCTTCAGCTTAATCAATAACACTATGAAGAGAGTGACTTGGAATTCATACCACCTTGAACATAATTCTGTGATTTAACAACACGTCTGATTAATGTGCCAAATCAACAAAAGTTACAGATGTTTATAACCTTTAGGAAGCCCACAAGTATATCTCTGTGTATACTAATCAGGTTGTCTGGAATTTGAATCCAAGATCAGCTGATACTGCTATGGTAAAGGGACACAACTCTGCACTCAACATCTAAGATGACATAGCCAACATACTCCTGTATATTAAAGGGCAAAAATCAGTTAAAAGAATTACAAGGACATACTTAACTCCTGTAACAAAATTTATATTACTGGCAACTTTGTTTTTGACATACATAGCTTATTCAAATTCTACTGATTCACTTAAGATTCTTATAAGATGCTTTACATAGGATTACAAAGTTTAAAACATGACATGTACCATAAGTGCACAGTGGGATATATTGTATATTACAAAGATATATTAACCAAAACATGGGTATACAAAAGGGTGAGTCTAAAACATGGGTATACAGGGTGAGTCTAAAACACGAACATCAAACACGAATACCTTACATAATAAGGCATAAGGCATAAAATGACTACCTATATAGTAAGTAAATTAGTTGTTATTGTAAGTTATAATGACATCAACTTAGTACATTCAAAAGGAAAATTTCCTTAAAAAACTACATAAAATCATAAATTGCACCAAACAATGTGGCCTCTATGAACATAATGTTAACTACGCAAGGCACTCCGTGTGTTCAAATCTAAAACATAAAATCTTTGATAATTATCTCTTTTTACGTGCTGTAATGATCGACCCACAAAAAAACAGAACCTCAATAACTTCAATAACAAAGCTGTTTTATATAAACCTTGTTATATTTCAACACATGAAAATATTGACCCCTTTTTAAAAAAAGACAAAAAAACATGAATATAAGTACAAAGTTTTTCCCAGGAACCAGTCGTAGATATAAATTATTCATGTCTGAATATGACAAATATCCTAAACCCACACGTAGTGAAGAACTCCATGTAACTGGAGAATGCGACCACCTTGTATATGACATCTGAATAAACCTAAAACTGTAGTATTTCCTTGGTGCGTTACATCAGCTACACACACTAACTAACTGAAGTGTCTGTAAAATCATTTTCCAGAGCTTGCTCCTCAAGTTTGCAGTCCCGAAATATCTTCATTGATAAGAATACCATTCCACTTCCCTTCGTGTTTTCTGGAACTGATTCAGCTGAAACAAAGTTGATACACCATTATTATTAAACATCATTAAAACTGATAAACTTGACACCTAACATTGCATATTATTTTTCACCAAAAAATTACTTTCTAAAGTCTACTTATAATATTATAACTTGAAATATTGCAGCTATGTGAATTTGAAAACAGCCTGTAACTTATTAACTCAGGACCAGACAATCCAGTGATTGTCATCATCACCATTCGAGTGATAGGGGTTACGGCTATATATCGATATATATCATGGGTGCAATGTGTGAAGCCCATTTCTGGTGTCTCCCGCCGCATATTGCTGGAATATTGTTAAAATGGAGTAAAATCATACTCACTCGATCAATAGTCATTAGCTAAATATCGATCGATTATTGATACATATAGGAGAAGTAACTTTGATCAAAAATGCCCGAAATGTCTGAAAGAATGAATATATTTCACATCACTGGTGAGTGGTGATTACTAACAAGGCAGTGTCCTATCTTTGTGTATTGTGTGAGTAAAGTAAAACTTTCTTCTATCACAATTGTTCATGTACGATATTATAGACTGCACAATTTTCTTATTGATAATAATCAATATTTTTACCTATCAGTGTTATTTCCGATCATTGATCATTTTGGTCAGCCCTAATTGGGATGAATGACATACATCAGCTAGCCACATTACACAATCCTGTCAGTTGCCTCTCTTAGAAGCTGAAGAACAACTCCAATCCCTATCTTCACAGCTGATACACTTGCATTATAACAATGATTTAAGATCTTCTTGATAAGTGAGGGCAAATTTAATCTTGATCATGGTACATTTTTGTGATTTTAAAAGTCCTTAAAATGAGACTGATTTTCTATGGTCAGGGGGCGGTGGGGTAGCCTAGTGGTTAAAGCGTTCGCTCATCACGCCGAAGGCCCGGGTTCGATTCCCCGCATGGGTACAATGTGTGAAGCCCATTTCTGGTGTCCCCCGCCATGATATTGCTGGAACATTGCTAAAAGCGGCGTAAAACCGAACTCACTCACTCACTCTATGGTCAGGGGCACTCATTAGAAATATGATCAAGTACATCAAACCACAAGAGTTGATTAATAATAAGATTACCAGTAATTATTCTGTAAGTGTATACAAAATACCTATACCCCTACCTGTAATTAATATTTTGTTTTATATTCTTTGTTGTTTAATGCTGCACTCAGCAATGTTCCAGCTATGTGGTGTAAATAATCTCGATCTGTAAATAATCGAGTCTGTACCAGACAATCCAGTGATCAAGAGCACCTGTAATTAATATATTTAATGCTAAATGCTAATGCTAATGCTGATAGCTTTGAGGAAATGACAGTAAAATGCCATAGATTTTACAACTATTTCCAAACTCTTCTGGCTTAATTTGTGACATTTTGGGGAAAGACTGCTGCATCCTTTCATTAATGTCAGGCAAAGAGTTGAATAAGTCTTCAGCATGGCATATGATGGAATACCGGTATTAGCATCAACATGATCAATGCATTGATTCAAAAGTGTCACAACATACAAGTAGGAACATCACTATCTCAATAACATTATCACACTTTCCCGAAATATCAGATAGGTGATTTTAACCCTTCAGTTAAGGGCCCACTATTAAACAAATTCAATAGCAGGTTTAAATTTACCTTTCTATCACACATTGGCATCAAATTTGGTTTATACTGCAACAGAGTTTGGTTATACACTGCTTTTAGCAATATTCCGGGCAACATCACGGCAGGGGACACCAGAAATGGGCTTCACATATTGTACCCATGTGGGGATTCAAAGCCAGGGCTACAGTGTTAGGGGAGAACGATTTAACCACTAGGCTACCCTGTTGCCCCTAATGCTGCAACAGCTGTGTTGCTTCCCAACATGATATCTAAATACTTTCTCATCCTTTGGGATATTTTCCAACAAGATGGTTCATAGTTAAAAGACTTTTCTTCGACTGCCCAGTCGTGGTTGAAAATGGAAAAGCTGTGTCAACAACACCATACAGCCTGGAGACACAACCCCAGATTTATGTCGCCATAAGTGTGGAATATTTTGCCACATCAGTGAGCATGAAGATCAGACAAAGAGAGATAGCATCAGTTATGCAGCAGCCTTTAGAAATATGTTGAACACAAGATAAGGTGTAAACAAGTAGCATAACAATGAGTTAGTGGTTCACACACACAAAGGACATGCTACAACAGTCTGGGGAGGACACATGTCTGTGAAAGATATATTCCTTATGCAATAGACACATACCTATTTAAATATGCAATGCCATATTTGCTTTATTCAGAATGGTCCCCAGTATGGTGGCCTAATTTTGGTTGCTGGCGATCTATAGCCGATTTAACATTGTGTTGTGGAAGAATGATTTAGCGTTTTAACATTATCTCACACTAGTTTTAATAGTATGCTTGATTGGCATTTTAGAAGATCCTATTTGATGAACATAAAGAATTTTCTGGATTGCATCTTCTTTTTTATTCTTGGATACAATCTTTAATTGTCTTTGATATAATCTGTGATAATCTGGTCCTTCGATGGCAGCATTTTAAAAGTATAAATATATTTATTCGTACTATATGACCTTTTTGTCGGCACAATATGGCTGAAATATTGCGGATGTGACTCTTTTGACTTTTTCGGTATGTTCAGGGATTTATCAGAGTTGTTTGTTTGGGGGACCAGGAGACTGAAAGACTTTATGTGTTGGGGCCTACTACAAAATTGGTCTCCCAGAGAGTTGGGTTTCGCCCTTTTAAATGTTCAAAAGAATGGGCATCACACCATGTGGGAATCGAACCGGACGCCGGTCACGGAATGAGCAGCTTTAACCACTAGGCTACCTCCCAGAGGAAAGTTAAAAACAGTGTTCAAAAGTCATTTGTTGAAAGTATGGAGCAAAAAGTGTACACCTTACTGAAAGATCATGAGTCATTCAACTGTGTATTGTATTTTAATGATTACATAAAGAAATTAATTATAAGTAGTATGACATGTTTCAGTGTCCATGGTTCAAGAATTAAAGCAAACTGAAGATGATCAAGCTGATGTAAACTTTTGCTGTGTCATGTGATTTTCCTTTACATAATGAGAGTGAGTTGGGTTTTACACTGCTTTTAGCAATATTACAGCAATATTCCAGCAATATCATGGCGGGTGACACCAGAAATGGCTTCACACATTGTGTCCATATGTGGAATCGAACCCGGGTCTTCTGCGTGACGAGCGAACACTTTAATCACAAGGCTACCCCCATGCCCCTTCACTTACATAATGTTTGCCCTAGGTATAAAAATTTAGGAATCATCATGACTCCCTGGTGTCATGGGAGGGAGTTTTGGACATGTTTTTGGGGAGTCAACTTCAGTTGGAACTTTCATCAAGACATCAACTATGATTGTTTAATAACTACAAAAAACAAGGCAGGTCAGGCATTTAATCAGAAATCAGTAGTTAACTGACAAACATTTAGTTTCAGAAGTTCAAAAGTTTTATCTGAACTAAGGGCCCAGTAGCATTGCGTCAACAATGACGGAAGCTTCTAAATTCACTGCATATTTGAGATAATTTGTGTGTCAAATATGCAGGTTTTCTGCTTGACATGGCAAATACTGCTTACATAAGCAGCATGCAGCTTATATACTCAATATGTTATATTTGGGACTGAACCCCAAAAGTACTGGAATCTTTACTCTGAGAATCCTACATCTATACCAGATATAGCACATGTTACATAATGACCATTTTCTAAATGGCATTGCGTATTCATGCAGCTTTTAGCTTTGTATGGGAATCAGAGGTTTATTATCTCTTTCAGAAACTTGTATCTCTCTTTGGATCTGACATGGAACTATATAAGTAACACTTTCAAACTAGTTTTAGTTTTATAAACACCAGGAGTAAGTTTGTTCCCCATCATTCCATTTCTGACAACAAATTTAGGCCAGCCCAATTTTATTTCTTGTTTTACAGATTTTTGTTCTCAGAAATCCTAAAGGCTGGAGGGAACAAAATAAAAATAAAATCACCAGTCAAAGTAATATTCCTTCTAAACACTAAAAGTATTTTACTTTTGGCAATTTATGAAGTGTATATGGGGCAAAAAACAATCTATAAAAAATTTCTTGTAAGTTTACATTTTTGGCCAATAAAAACATTAGGATTTTATTTTTGAGCAGGGAAAATTAACTTTGATTTTTATTTTTATTCTTGAAAACATAAAACAAGAAATAAAATTGGTCTGGCCTTAACTAGTTTCAGAAAGCAATCCCCTTGATTATTTTTTGCCCCAAACACTTAATGCTTCAAATATGGTACATAACTTGCTGAAGTGTATATGTAAATCCAGCTATGAGTTTATAGTGATCGCATATCTATGTAGCACATATATCATATTAATGTATACTCAGCATGATTATTAAAAGGTCACCTACGTGTGTAGGACGTTACACATTAACCTAACCTGGCCTGACAAGAATCCACAGGCCGGAGTAAGATGTGAGAGTGAGTTTAGTTTTCTGCCACACTCAGTAATATTCCAGCTATATGGTGGCGGTCTGTAAATAATCGAGTCTGGACCAGACAATCCAGTGATCAACAGCATGAGCATCGGTCGACGCAATTGGGAACCGATGACATATGTCAATCAAGTCAGCGAGCCTGACCACCTGATCCCTGTAGTCGCCTCTTATGACAAGCATGGGTTGCAGAAGATCGATTCTAACTGGGATCTTCACGGGTCAAGTAAGATGTGATCAACTGGAACAAGCAAGACAAATCTCTTCCCCTCCCTGAAACTTAAAAGAGCAAACTCCTTGACTGTTGCTTGTAGTCCCTTGCCACGAATAGCTGTAAAACTGCCGATTAGTGGCGTTTCAATTAATTGAAATAATCAAAGAATGGTCGCAGTGACCAAATGACCAAGCAATCGATCACATTTTCTCATAATCGAACACAAACGATTTTGGTACTACTGTTTAAGTCTTT